AAAGGAAATTTTTTACGGATTGAAGAGTTGTGGGAAAGAGTTTTTTTTTCATTAAAAAAATTTTTTATCTTGTATTAAATTCTTTTTGATAAAGAAAGATATATATTATATTATAGTTTATAAATTTTATAACTATAGTACAAGTCTAAAATTATAAATAAAAATAATATATAAAAGCTATTTATTTCTTCAAAAAATTTATATAAATAAATAAAAATATTAACTTACTTTGCTATATATAATTATTACTTGTTTTAAATATTAACTTTATTATTAATTTTAATATATAGTATAAATCTAATATAAATCTATTTTGTTATTATAACTTAATATATATTTTAATATTTGTTATTAAGATAATATAAGTTTTAATATTTGTTATTAAGATAATATAAGTTTTATTAATTGTTATTAAAATAATATATGGTTTGCTATTTGTTATTAAAATAATGCATGTTTTAATATTTATTATTAAAATAATATATATATATATATATTGCAACTTTTATTAAAAAAGTTATTATAAAAATATATATAATATTTTGATTTTATATTTATTTACTATATTTTGATTTAAAATATGTTTAAAATTAAAATTTGAGTTTTAAAATTGGATACAAGTAAAAGAATTATATACTATATATATATATATTAAAAAATAGATTTCTAAATTAAGAGTGAGAATATAATTCAAATGTTTCTTATTATTAAAAAGTTTTTTTTTTAAATAATAAGTTAAAAAAAAACTATTTATAAAGATTTTTTGCAATTTAAATCATTTTGATTTGAGTTTTTTTTAAATTATATTCTTATTAAAATAAAGAATAAATAATTATGTTTCTTAAAAGAAATATAATTGATTTTTAAAATTTTATATACTAAATAATTTAAAAAACATATTTTTTTATATTTTAATATTATTATTAATCTTTTGATAAAATAAACTGGTTTTGGTTTTTTCTGGTTTCAGAATAAATTAAATTATATAATAATATTGTTTATATTACAATCTTGTTTATATTTGTATTTTTTCAATTACAATAAAATAAAAGTCTTAATATTTTTTTGTTTTTATATTAATATATAAAACTATTTAATTTATTAAATATAATTAATTAATATAAAAGTTTGTTAGTATTTAAAAAAATATCTAATTTGATTAATAATTTATAAAGTACAATGCAATTTTTTTTTAAATTTTACTATAAATTATTTTTCTTGTTTTTTTAATAAGAAATTATAAGTATCCATCTGTTTTAATAAATATAAAATAGTTAGTATTTTGAATACAAATTATATATTTATTATATATATTCTCATTTATTTTTTAGAAAAAATATACAGTATATAGTTTTTTTTTTAAAGAAAAATATTTCTTGAATATTTTTTTAAATGTTTTGAAGAATTTTCAAAAAAAAATTTTTTTTTTTTTAGAATTTTAGAGTTTTTTTTTTTAATATTATTTATTATAGAAAAAACTTATATATAAAGTTGGATTTTACAAAAATCAAATTATAAAATTAATATATAACATAAAAATTTTAATTAAAACATAATTATTTAAAATAATAGTAATAATAATTGTGATAAGTAATATAATTAAAAATAATTTAAAATTAGATACTTTACAATTCTTTTATGAATGCTTACGATTAATTATTTAAGATCTTTTACTACATTTAATAATTATATTTCAATCAATATACATTGTAATATGACCAAAGAAATAAAAAATAAACCAATAATCATTGAAATTATTTTTTAAAATCATTTTATTATATTTATTCTTCTTGATTTATCAATTAATTTTAATAAATTACTTAAAAGCTTTTTATTTGTTATATAAAATGAACAATGAAATTATAATTTTCAAACAAGAATCGTTAGAAATTTTCAAAAATCAATGCAATTAGATAAAAATAAGAAACGTGAAATAAGAAATGAACTGGTTGATTATCTTTTTTATCTTCTAAACCAGGCATAAATCCATTGTTGTGGTGGAAAAGCAATTTTTTCCATTTTTCAACTGTGGCTCTTATAGCAGCAGATTATCTTGCTTTACAAGTCACAAGTGTTTCTTGTGAATGAGCCTTTTTTATAGCAAAGAATATTATTGACAAATTATCTTTTCAAAGAAACGACAAGAGCTTCGTTATATTTGTAGAAGTAGAAATTTTAATTTTAGAATAGATAGCCTAATAAATTATGTTAATGAAGTTTGAATAAGTCGAATTCATTTAAATACCGTATATTGTGATAATATAATAGATGAAGACATAAAACAACCGATGACAGTAATAACAATAATAAATGTTTCAAAGATACCAAACGACTTATTTCTAAAAAATCCAATTATTGATTTTAAAATTAGGTAAATAAAATTTAATTTCCGTCTCGTCTTTTTTGTATTCTTATATAACCACGTATAGCTTTTGAGTTTTCGGATTTTTCGTAATAAGCGAAAATTCAATAATATCGTAGATATTTTTTCCCCTGAAACTCGATATTATCCTGAATACAAACTTGATAATTATTGTTGTGAAATATTAAGCATAATCCTTGTCTTGTTTATTTATTGTTATTTCAGAGCAGATGGTATAATTTTGTGTCACGATCTTATTAACATACGTATAATAAACTTATGATTTTTTGAAATTTCGACTTAATCATGAATGCTTGTTATTTGTATGCATATGATGTTTCGTTGGACATCAATCAGTGTAGACCAATGGTAAGCCTAGTTCGTCTCACCTTGTTAAGCAGATAAAAACTAGTGCCGATCGGCAAGATAGAGATTGCATACAGACGATTAAAAAATATTAAGATGATGATATCTTGGCTGAAAACTTTAATCATGGTCAACGCTTAAGGTATATTAATAATGGCTGCATGCAAATGATACATATTATTAGAAAAAAAGCTTTATTTAATTTTATAAAATTTACAAACGTGGGTCATTTTTGTTTTTCAAAAAAAGAAGTAGGATCTCCGCATGTCATACTAATTTGTCGCATAATTAATATTTGAACATCTTTCTAAAGTTCTTTGAGAAAATGTTAGCAGTCATTAAAGATCCGACGATAAAACAGGTTGAACGTGTTACAATTAAGTTTCCGATCTTTAATTAATTATCTTGCAATTCTAATTTAGTCTTACACCTACTTTTCCGAAATTTCTTAATCAAATTCCGCTGCGTTTATGAAAAAGGTGAAGGTTACCCTCAGAAAGTATCAAAGGATTTTATGTTCCTTATGTTGCATGAATTAGATTCGTTTCTCCAAAGAAAAAAAAAAAAGAAAAAAAAATGTTTCTTATTTCGGAATTATGGACTTGCCAAGATAATCGAAATTACACGCGAATATTTTATCAAAGAAAATTTTTGCTATAAATCCACTCCGCTCGAATTATTATTTTTTCTTGTGGCCTTGAGTCTTAATAAATCGCGCGATGAACAGCCCTAGTGACTTTATTTCGGTTAAGATGCCTTTTCCCCCTACCATTAACCACATCGAGTTCATGAAGTGGAAAAAGTCGCCTAACGCCTATATTATATATCACAACGTATACGTCAAACAGCTCAAGAAACAAAAAGGGCGGGTAAAAAGACAAATAGTTGCTTCGCTTGCTGGGCATGCATGGAAAAGCGAGCCAGATGACGTCAGAGCTCGTTACGAACAAATTGCAAGAGAAATCAAGAAGGAACGAGCCGAGAAATTTTTGGCGTCATGCATTCAGCACTACGTTCCCCCTAATCGTCCGTATCCAGAACCTGATTCTTTTGGTGATTCGAGTATTTCAAGTCCTCCTTACGAAGATTACGAAGAGGTGTTTGACAAATACATAATTTATGAAGACTAAGAAGAACTTAGAAATTATGAAGACCAAGAAGAAAATATGAAAATAAGGACAAGAATTTAAGATTTATCTAAGATGCATAAGCCTTTATGTATAACCGACTACAGTAAGATAAAACCCACCCTTTGCGGGAAGTTAAAGTTAAACGTTTTTATTTAAACGAAATATAGCGCATAGTGTATTAGATATGAAATAAAAATTGTATGTACGTGGTATATACAGAAATAACTGTACTTTAATATGTCTACTTGTTAGTTAGTTCAAGTTCAATATTACAAAAATTGACAATAAAAGACAAAATATTATATCCCGTTGGAATCTTTTATTTTTTATTTGGCTAATTGTTGTAATACTCGTTCACCTGGCCATTACTTTACTTTCAAAATTTCACTAATAAAACATATCACGTGTTGAAAGTGAGAGATATACATCCTTTTGTTAAGAAACAACACAACCTAACGTTGTCAATTGAGCCAAATGTCATCTGAACTTTTCCTATCTTTTTTTTTATGGCATAAATTCCAGTTTTCGACAAACAATTCCTGATCAACTCCGTTTCAAAAAAAAAAAAAATCACAACCCGAAAAACTTGGATATTAAAAAAACAGTTTAAGGCAAAAAATAGATTCCTTCCTGGAATAGTCAACTTCTTTTTCCCGTTAATACAGTAATGCAGGATATTTTAAGTAGATTAGGACCAGAAAGAGCATAGGAATTCCCCCATGAACTCGAAAAAACATATCTTGATCATTGTCAAGTGAAACAATACCAGTTTAAAATGTTTGAATCGTCATCTCGCACGCGAGGTTGATAGACATTGAATGATACGTAAAAATCAAATTCCTCATTCTTCAGACTGTCGTTCGGATCATCTTTGAATTACAAAAGTCTTCGTCCAGTTGCATGACCTCATTGATCGGAGACCGGAGGTACATTTTTTTTTAACAAACTCCGCGTCCCGCACAAGATTTCTCTCGTGTAATATATTGAAGTCTTTATGAACAAATTCGAAAGAGAAGAATAGAGGAATGTGTGGCTTTGGGATGATCAATTTCTCAGAAAATACATGATTTGACGTCATTAAATCACATCAATTCATGCGCCTGATCCGAATATGACACAATTGGTCCAATTTTGGCAGTGGCGTCGCATTTGCCATGCGAATAGCGATGGTAAGTAAGTTGTATAGGATTATCGACTCCGGGGCAGAGAAAAAAAAAACACTTAACAAACAAACTTGATATTAAAATTAATTATATTGATTCGACAAAAATTAATTGGTGTGTTTTTTGTAACACACATATTTATTTTATTTAGATTCGAAATTTTCGTTCTTTTCTTTCGAACAAACTTTATGATCACCCCCGATATGGGGAAGAAAGCAAATGACTTTATTTATTACAAATAGGAAATAAAAATTTTGAAATGTAACACGCTAATAGGAAAATAAAAGAAAGAAAGAAGGAAAGTGTAAAAGGGTAACCCTTAACCATTCAGTTTCACAAATTGATTGCGTGCGAATTGCTCATTTAACTTTTGATGATGATAAGGGTGAAGGTATTGAGTGGTGCAATCCTAATTACACGTGCAGGCGCAGAGATTTGATACAGTTAAAACTTATGTAAGCGCATTCATTTATATTGGAATAAATCGATTATGTATAAAAGCGTATAATTTCTTCAAGCAAGGGAATTTTTGGATACATTAAGTTCGCGTATTCTTGACATTCTTCATTCGTCATCATAAGTACCATGAATCCTGAATCGATAACGGTACCCTTTCCACCGTCCGTAAAGCCTCAGGATTTCGTTCCAAAAGTAGGTACAAGAGCATCGAAAAAGAGTCCCAATGCTTTCTTCATCTATAGGAAGGCATTCCTCAACCAACTTCGAGTTCACAATTGTAAAATAAAGATGACAGATGTCTCTCCGTTTATCAGTGCATCCTGGAGACGGGAAACTTTACAGGTGAAAGAGGCGTATAAGGAAATTTCCCGCCAAGTGGAAAAGTTGACAATCGAAATGAGTCAAAAGAAAAAGAGTATCCACAAAAATTTAAAACCAACTCCCGTTTACCTCGAGTCCAAAGAAGTGCAGCCTCCTCCGCAATATCATCATGAAATCACAAATTATTTTGAATTCTCTTCTGCATCCAACTTGTTGACTACCGAACAAAACAGTTTACAATTCCAACCCGTCGCCGAAGATTTCATTCATGAAAACCTTCCACTTTTTGCTCAACCACAACCCATTTTTAATCCATTTTATGTTCTGTTCGAACCATGCAATCCTATGTATTACGAATTGCCTGACAACTCACAAGAATTTTAGGCCTAAAGAATTTTAAAGCAGAAAAAGTGTATGACTATTTTTTTTAAGACATGCCCCAGCCTTTCAATTATTCCCGTATTTTTATGCTACGTAATTAAGCTAATAAAGAGGAATGAAGCGATTAAGGTTAAAAATTACAATTTGAAAAAACAACTGCATCGCTATACATAAATGTCAAACTAACTACCAGTGATATCTGTGCATTTAAAAAAATAAAATAAATGTATGAACATGAAAGATGACTTTACAAATCTTCCTCCTCAAAAAATGACGTGACTTACCCTGATCCCAGTGAACCCTTCTTCCCTGCTTACTGTCTTCTATGTCACCACGTTCTTCGTATTCCTTTTCATACATATCCATCTCTACTTCTTCTCCGTCTTCTATTGCTTCACCCTCTAAATTATCATCATCAATTATCCCTTCTCGCGGAAAATCAACATCAGCCTCCGTAGTTTCGCCATCTTCAATATTTGTTCCTCCTATTTCTCTGCCTTCTATCATTTTGCTTTCTGGAACGTCAAGGTCAGTGGTCCAGCCCTGTTGAACACCATTCATCTCCAATTCCCCACCATTCCTGTCTTTTGAGTAGTCATCATCGATCACTCCATCTTGTTGAACCCCACCCATCCATATCGTTTCACCAGAGTTTTCCATTGTTTTTATTTCCGAGTCGTCGCGATCCATCGCATTTTCCGCTATTTCGTTTTTCGAGTCGTCGCGATCCATTGCATCTTCCGTTATTTCGTTTTTCGAGTCGTCGCGATCCATCATATCCTCCATTATTTCGTTTTTTGAGTCGTCGCGATCCATCACATCCTCCATTATTTCGTTTTTTGAGTCGTCGCGATCCATCATATCCTCCATTATTTCGTTTTTTGATTCGTCGCGATCCATCGTATTTTCCACCATTTCGTCCTTCGGGTCGTCACTCCCAAAACTTATTTCTCTACTACAAATTTCATCAAAATCCATGAGGCAAGGATCTTCCTTGTCCAAAATGATGGATATAACTTTCCAATCATGTTCGTCAAGTTCTTTGACTATGTGTTTTGCGAACATCGATTCACCCTTGGTATACACATATTTCAAGACCTGGCATCTCAATTTATTTAATCCTAGCCACTTTGATGCCTTCATGGCAACTCGCCAACGCCGACTTTCCCACTTTTGTTTTTTCAAAATGTAAGTTCACGCATTATTACAGTAGTTTTTTTTTTCCTCCATAATTTAATGTAAAAAGGACTTACCGTTTCGTGTAAAAGTTTATCGCAAAGGCTTAGCAATTCGGGAACATCAAACTTTTTCTTGGATGCCAGATAAGCAAGCGTGAACAATTTATGCTCGTTCACACCTTCCACCGGGTATCCATACCTGGAAATGGCATAATTCCAACGTTAAAGTCAAACGGTGGATGAACGGATGGTCTTTGAGATTGACGAAATGCTTACAGGAATTTTAAAAAAATACCAAAATCCTCAAAAGTGTATTTTAATTCGGTTTCTGGATCTCCTCTGTAGTGAGATAGTCCTGTAATTGATTTTGTTTTCGAACAACTATAATCATGCTTCAGCATTCCTTCTTCAAGCGCTTCGTCACCGAGATCATCGACATTCTGTTCTTCTTTGCATCTTAACATTGTCAATCGCCGAAGTTTTATGTGCCTAAAGTAGCGATTCCAGAATCCGGTTGTGACATATAACACGCAGGTGTGAGCATAAAAATGGATGTTGTCGACGCGAATCATTATGTCAGCAGTCTTAACATCGTTGAACAAAGGACGAAGGAACAACTGATCGTTGTTTTTCATTTATTTTTTTATTCTAGTGAAATAGAAAAGTGGAAGAAAAAAAATGGGAGATAGAGAAAGATAGAAGAAAGATCGAGCACTCGATATTTTGTTTTGGGTGAGCAGAGGATATCGGAACTTTAATACTCGCAAAATAATGATTCATTTAATATCAATAAAACTTTCAAAATTGCAGCACCTGCATCATCATCATATTTTTTTACATAATTCACCGGGATGACGCAAAAAATCGAGGTCCGACGTCCAGCCTGAAATTTTCTTATAGCACGTTGCTCAGTGTCGCTCAGCATATTCATAAATGGGATCATCATAACACAGAAAGTTTGTCTGACGCGAGAACAATGAAGATGTGGATTTACTTCTTATTGGATACTGAGATGTACCCGGTAACTCAAACGTATAATTGATGCGCCGCCGAGCCACACCAATTCCATTACCACGTGATAAATAAGGCGAAATATATTATCAATTATCGTTATTGATATACAGTATTAATACAGCTAAGTCATTTGCCTTTACTACCTGAAATTTATTAGCACGGATACTTGGAACAATCTCATCTATAACTAACCCGTTCCTGCATACTAATTGTACCCTTGTACCATGACAATGGACCACTCAGTTTGTTGGAATACTGTCACCCTATATACCATACGTAGGCGGAATATCATTGATAAAATTCTATACACGTTCTACTGTATGTGCTGTAGTATATATACAGTAATTGTCGCTCAAACCTTGGGATTGGAATTCAGGAATCGGAAATATCAACCATCTCATGTTAGGCAAACTCGTGTTCACTCATTAATTAACCAATCAAAAAATTTTTTATTGTTATTTTATATTCTAATATAAACTGGAATTTAGATAGACATTTAAGGATTTGAGGTTGGGCAAATATACAGTATATACCGTAAATATATACTGTATGTGCTGTGTACTGCATAGGTGCCGTTGGAGTCAATTTTAAAATCGAAAAAAAAAAAAAGCAATCTGATTTTAATACTGTATAAATTTTATTTGCAAGATAACAAGAAAAGATGGTCTAAAGGCCAAACCACGGAAAATCGATGCTTATCATGAACCACTGGCTGCGTGTACCCAATCCTTCCTTCTCCCCCACATTACATTATCTCAGTAATGTAATTTATCGCACGATCTGCTTCGGGGGGGGCGCTTCCATTAATTGAATTGCGTCAGGGCCTTTATAATATCCCTGCGTGTATCGGACCTAGAATCTCCAGAAATTCTATTATTAGAAATGGGTAATAATAAAAATTATGCACAGGAGGGTATGTGTCACACATATTAATTTGTGATGCCAACCCTAGCGGAATTTTCTTAAACTGGTCTTTAAGAGATAATAAGAAAATTTTGAGATGCGCGCAAATTTTTCGGAATTTTGTCAACGATTGATATGAATCTTGTTTCCTTCAATTTGCCTATCATATGTTTTGTTTGCATTGCTTAATTCGGTCAATAATAGAGTTGCGCCAAGTAGGCTGCCGGTGTGAAAATTCCACCCTCGATTACAATATCACAATATGATATGCACATAATTCCATTCTAAAATCTAAAATTGCTTATGATCTTCGTTACGCAATTTGCAGGTTTGGCACGTATCAAAGTATAACAAGCAAAAAGGGTCATGTTCTTTTTGAATGGTTTCAATTGTATACTAAAACGGCCTATATTTGATAACGAAATCTATTGGGGCACACTGATGTCATCAATTCTTTGATATCGCATCTATAATGGCGTCGCGCATCGGAAATCCTCAAAGGAAAGCCTTCTTTTTGATGCTTTTAGTCATAGATCTATACAGATGTAGCGTGAGTTAGTTGCCTACGGGACATTTTTAATAGTTACTTAAAAGGGCATATGAAAGAATTTATGCACCCATAATTAAGTGCATGTGTCTGTTCCTTGTTTTTTTCATTTTGTAGTCGCGGGAAAATGTGATATTCAAGAGGGAAGCATGTTCAACAAACAGGAAAAATTAAGAACAGCGTACAATCTCATTTCTCTTAATTTTGCAATTAGCAATGAATTATTTATTAATTATTCAACTAAAATTATATCATTTTTTACATTGTGACTTTTTTTGTTTTTTTTTTTCGGGCATCAATGTTAAACAAAAGTTGCATACTGTATGTGTTTTTACGTTTTTTTCTTCTAGCCAAGAAAAACTAGATTGTTTATTTTTGTACTCTGTGTTTAAAATTGGTTGGTACCCAAACATCTCACCCCTTTTCTTATGCTATGCGAAGGCTCTATATTTGTAAGTAAACAATTTACCGACGAATATAATATTAAGTAGATTATCAAAATGTTGTGACTCTATTAGTTGCGTCATGAAATGTGTCCTTTGATCGCAAAAAAAAGAGAGAGAGAGAATACTTGTACACATCGATTATTCATTGATTCATTTCTTTCTCGAGACAATAATGTTCCACTTCAAGATGGCGACAATCGGGGTTGAGAAAGCGATTTCACCTCGGGTAATCCTTTCAACTTTGACCTTTAAATATATCACGTGTAAATGGCGATACAATAGTACACGATCTACCAGATACATACGAGATTATTCAATACAGTATATAACATGAATTAATTGAGATCATACGACATGGTGTTCTCTTCCGTATAAAATATAAATGCCAATGTAAATTTTTTTATATAAAGAGGTTCTCTTTTCTCTGAATATCATCAAAAAATCAGTTTGATTTAAAATATGGAACATACCTTTCAACTCCAACCTCCTTCAATGCGTGCGTCAAAAACCTCACGGTCAAAAAAAACCTCGATAAAAACCACTAATAACGATTTTAGTCATTTGCTCATACAAATGCCAGATGCATCAGAGGTATCAATTGACGAATTCGTTAATCGTCCCCACGCGAGAATCAGAAAGAAGAGTCCCAATAGCTTCTTCATCTATAGACGAGTGTTTGTAAAGCAACTCCTACAAAATAACTATAAACTGGAAATGATCAATGTTTCCAAACTGGCAAGTATTTACTGGCACAACGAGGACGAAAGAGTTCGCCAAGAATACAAGAGGATTGCCACAATGATCGATCAGAAGCTTCAAAAGATTAGAGAGGAACAGCCAAAAACTCCCATGTACACCTTTGTCCACTGGGGCGAAGAAAACTGTAATCCCCCTCAGGAGTTTCCTCTCGCTGCGGAGCCTCCTGCTCACGAGAATCCCATCTACAACTGTGAAAGCCCAGAATTTGATTTCGGAAATTTCGACAATTTCGAGGAATTGGAATGGTACTTGAGTGATTTTCTGTGAAGCAATAATTAAGGAACTATTACACATAGTATATATATAGAGAGAGACCTCCCTAAATGCATCCTCTATAAATACACTTACTATATTTTCTCTCTCTAAATACACGGTCAAGCTTGGTCTCAAATACATAGAACTCTTAATAAAATTACCTCCATAAATGCACACCCTCTATAAATGCACATTTTTCAAAAAATTTTCTATGATCCCGGGGGGTGTGCATTTAGAGAGGGTTCACTGTATATGTATGCGCCAATTATGTATAAGTTAAATAAGAACTATAAGAACTAAATTATATTTACTAATTAGCTCAAAATATTGGAACAATTTATATTATATATGTATTGTTTAAAAGTTGGGTCCAAAAAAAATCATATCTAGCATTTTGTCGCCTTCAAAAATAATTACCCATATACAATACATTTAATCATATGCAAGCTCTTTTAGTAAATATTAATAAAAAAAATATGCTTCGTCGCGTTGCAAAATCATAACATTGAAGGAGAGACACTAGAATCCTATAAGATTAATCTCAACAAGCTTTTCCGGTTTGGACTATGGACGTGTGATTAGAATTGGACTTAAAAGGATAACGAATTTCCGTTTTTTTGTCAATAGGCTACACAGGCTATTGAGGCTACATGGTGCGACCCAAACAAAACGTCGTGTGCACGCACATTGGGAATAAAAGCTTAGAATGTACCGTAGAATGACATATAAAAACCATATTTTCTATGTAATATTACCTTTGTAAGAAAAAATAACAAAAGAATACCATTGTTTACCATGACAATTGCATGCTGAATAAGGTCCACTGTCTGATCACCGTCGATCGATTGAATAAACACGAAAAAAATTTTTGTAACCAATCATTTGTATATGCTTTATCGATGTAATCTCAACATTGCAAATCTTTAACAAAATCTATTATCCTAAGGAAACCAATATTTTCTTTTTCTTTAGTTATGATTTTATGTCACACCTGACACCAATACTTGATTCCTTTTTTCTAAAAATAAATAGAAACGATACGTAAACAATCGATTATTATGCTTAATAATAGCAATTATTTTACATTACCTGATTATTGATGGCAACGAATGTTGAATTCCCATTTTTGATGATTCAATATTCTTTATATAAAGTATAAATAAGTCCCGTTTTGTATGTTTGTACAAGATAATGTCGGAAACAAAGTATCGTAAAACACAAAAGATCAGAAAAACCATCACACAACGTCAGCTCAGAAAAACAGAAAGAGGACCTTGACAGACAGGAAATGCGAGTATCTCTGGCAGAAATGCCCAGACCATGAACTCGTCAGAAACAACGGGTCATGTCTCAACTGGGAAATGTAAATGTAAAATAAAAAGAACAAGATAATAAATTAAATAATTTTTTTGCCTCACATCCATTTTGGAACGATCGTACCGAGGAGATATTGATCACCAGGAAGGATTAGCTCTGCAGATTTGCTACAAGCTTATCGAATGGATTCTTGGCAAGAATAACCGTACAAAGATTGTGGTACTCGGTTCGGATGTTAACGTTGATGATACGAAATTCGATGAGCTTACCGAGAACCTATTATCAATCGTTACTATCTTCACGGCAAGACACAATGGGCTGGAAACCGAAAGCGACAAACTATGGGAACTGTGAGATGGACATACAAGGTTTTAAGATGGTACAGGACGATGGAATCACCGACATGAAAGCACTATGATAAGTGCTTCACAACTGAAGGAAGCCTCTGGGTAAAAAGAGACCCCTAGAGAAGTACATTTGTACGTGACTTGAAAATTAATAGCCGCATACAAAACAAACAAGAGGTTGCATGGAGATAATTTTCGAATAAATTATCGGTCAAATAAGGATCGAACACAAACCATCTCAATTCTTGCTAGGGATTGGAATAGGAACAGAGGGAAATATGCGTTCCTAAAAAACCATCACCTTAGAACGATTACTAGATATCAATAATACGATTGACATAATAAAGAATCATCTGGGACATTTTTACTTGTGTGTTTCCGTTTCTTTGGATATCATCGATAACCAAGATGATTTGGGAAAAGGTAATTTCGCTCGATCCAGGTGTTTGCACGTTTATAATTGGTTATGACCCTGACCGGTCAATTAATCGAGTGTGGGTAACGGTGATTTTAATAAAATATTTAAATAATCTAAGAAATACTGTATAATAATAAATTAAAGAGCTTGCTTTGGAAAGAACAAACAAGAGAAATAGATTTCGACCGAGAAAAAAAATGCCATGAATCATACAACGAATCCATAATTTAATTTATGAGTGTCATCATCAGCTGGCCCGTTAATTATGTCAGAATTACGAGATCATTCTTCGTGTGATGCTAACTTGGTTGCTAACATATAAAAACAGGTTTTTCCCGGATATTTTAATGGTACATATACTGTATATCTGCCAATTAATATACTGCATATATTGTACCATATAAATAAAAATAAATATTTTTTTATATTATCAAGTATACTATTTATTTCATGAAATGTAAGATAAATATTAAGATAGAATAGCGATAGGTAAGTTTGTAAAAAAGGTGAGTTTGTGAAATGTAACCTAAAGTGGATGATAGGTTTACGAAACGTGAGTGAGCGGGTTCGCGAAGTAGGGGACAATTGCTTTTGAAAAAATATTTGATACGAGTAATTGGGATACTATCTGTGCAAAGCATCCGACCTTGCGAAACAATCGTGAAGATCTAATCATGATATTACAATAGATGAGAGAACAAAAAGAATAGAAATAATCAAGACAGGTAGCACGTGATTGGTTCTCGTTCGAAGTATTATGAATTATGTAACATTCTGAACTTTTATATACATATTAATTTATATATTTAAATTCTGTAGATTAGAATTCTATCAAGCAAAATAAATCTTAATCTTACTTGATAAACAAGTAACATATTATTCTTATAAATTGTACCTAGAGATTTAGTGTTATAGACAAACGAATTTTATTGAAAAGATTTATATATGCAATATTTATTATAATGGTTCAAATGAATTTAATAAATAAATGATTTCGGTTTGATTGAAAATTCCCAAAAATCTAGTTTAAATACAGTATTTAATTATTAATTAATTAATAATAAATTTAAAATAGCAAATAGGGTACTTACGCTTTTATATAACTTAATTCGAATTTTATAATCAACAACAGTTCATGTCTTATTAATATCAAAAATAAAAATTATTTTCAAATTAAACAATAATAAATAATAAAGTATGTTCTTGTTAGATAAATTACATTTATTTAATAAGATTATTATCATATTAAATTTATAATATATTATGTTATATAAACAATTTACTTAAATCCAAAGATTAAAGTTTTGAATCAAAACTAATTAATTGGTTCAATGCAGATTGATTTCGTTTTTAAAATTTTTGATTTGATAAAATTCAAATTAGTTTGGTTTGAAAATTTTTTAATCAAATTTAATTAACATATAAAATAATAAAATAAAACAAATTAAAAATTTTTTATATTTTATATTTAAATAAAAACAAATAATAAAAAATTGAATTAAATTAACATATATAAAATAATAAAATAAAAAAAATTTAAATTTTTTTATAACTTGATTCTATTTTTTTTATTTATTTTATTTTTAAACCAGAATAATAATTAACTGAACTTTTATTTATAAAGAATTGTTTTTTGATAATATTACAAATGTTAAGGCCAAGTTATATATCTTTTTGCTAAGAAGAATCTAATACAAAACTCAAAAAAAATAGTTTATTTATTCTAGTTTTTTTTTATACTAGTCACTTAAGCAGTAGCAAAAAGCTTATCAAAATTTATATAGTCTCAAGCAATGTTTAATAAAGAATTAAAAAAATTTGAAATACTCAATTATATAAAAGTACTGTAATCAAGTATACATATTTGCTTTCAAGTCATAATTAAGATTTAATATACTTGTTTTTCAAAATTGGTTTAATATATAATGAAGAAAAAAAGAAAATTAATTTTTTATATATAAAAGTATATAATCATTTTTCATATATTGGTCTCTAAGTTTTATAAAGAGTTTAATATATTTATTTTCCAAGTATAACAAAGGTATTCAATAAATAAAATTGTATTAAAAAATTTTAAAAACATTATTATCTAATCACATATATGGACTTATATTGTCAAGAAGTAAACAAAGAACTTTTGTTATCACTACTAGTTTTGTTTATAGAAATAATTGGAATTCCTGACTATTATATATCATTTTATTAAATATTTTAAACATCAGAATATTATATATAGAATTTTATATTGGTATTGATTATTATTTAACTGAATACTATAAAATGTAACCACTTGAAAATTCTGATAATAATAGTTATACAATAGCTTTTTAGATATATTTAATCTAACTATTAAAAAATAAACAATACTAAATATTGTAATAATAGTTATACTGATCTTTTAAAGAGATAAACTATTTGTCTTTTTTTTAAATAGTAATAATAATAATTTTCTAAACTTACAACTTGAAAAAAATTATTACTTCTTGATATACTATAGTTCTTGAAAAAAAAAATTAATTAATTAAATAAATAATAAGATGGAAAATAGCAGTTTAAGAAAAAGAAAAGTTTAAAGAAAAAAAACTTCAATAAAAAAAAAATACAACTTTAATAGATAAAAATAAATAAATAAATATTATTAAAAAAATATTAAAAAAAAAAGAGTTATAAAAAAGAAAGTAAAAGTAAAGAAAAAAAATAATAAAAAAATAATAATAGAAAAAAAAAAGTGAAAAAAACAACCCAAAAATTTCTTAAAAAAATTTTTTTCAAGTATAAGAAAGAAGTAGAAAGAGTTTTTTTTTTTTTGATAATTCTATTTTATTTATTTATTTATTTTTTTTGTTGAGGTTTTTTCCAGTAGATAAATATTATTTCTTTATTTGTTAATATATATAGAAAGTATATATTAAGAAAAAAATAATATCTCT